CTTTGTGTGTGAGCAAAGTACTATTTAACATTGAGAAGGGAGAAGCAGGCTCTTGGAGATCACTCTGTATGGACCTTCTTCATAGAAGAGATGTGCTATAGCTCTTATTTCAGTGTTTACACATGTTCCATCAGGAAAATATTTGTTTTTTAAAAAAAATCACACAAGCAATAAGTGGCTTCTCACAGAAGTGTCAGTGTTCTTAGTGAAAGCAAATTCAGCTGTCTCTTCCCAGAGAACATAACCTTATGTTACCTTCACTTCCCTGCTCGTGGCTATTTGCCTGGTAGTCACTCAAGGCTGTTCTTGTTCATCCCAAGGAGACTAGTCCTACTAACAATAAATAGTCCTGCACATTAGATTAAGAGGTAGCTTTGGTTCAGTTTTGTATCAAGTTTGGCAATTTGAAAATATGGGGGGGTGGAGGGGAAGAGCTCTGAACACCTGAAACTAAAAAGGTCAGTTGATGGTTGTTTTATTTTGGTGAGGGGAAAAAAATGCCAATGCTTCACTTATTTCCCCATAATGTGGCTCACGAGGGTTCACATCCTTTCAAAAGAAGTTTGAGGCGAGGCCTCCTATGCTGCAAACTTTTGCTTAAATCAGAGGTATCTAAAACAAAAATTTGAAGAAGCATCAAGACACTCCTAGTACTTTTCGTTTTAGTTACCTTTAGGTATTGCCTCTGGATCTGATCTTTTTGCAAAAAATAATAATAATAATAATAATTTGCCCCACCTGCCTAAGTTTGTTAAATTCCAGCACAGACACAGCTAAGCCCACATGGGAATTGAGGTGAGAGGGAGGATGCTAATGGATGGAATGTCCCAACATGAGGAAACACATGTTCACATCAGGGACAGTGGACTGGAGCTGGGTATATGCACAGATCAGCTAGGCTGAAAAGTCCCAGGCAATGGTGTAATTATGCTAAAATAAAGACATGTTTATTTTCCAAAAGTGTGCCTGTAATGGGGAGGGATTCTGCCATAACTGTGTGTACTTATTTCTAATAAAGGTTTAGTAATAGATATGGCAGCTGCCTGGTATGCTGTCCTTCAGTAAGTATGGATGGAATTTATAGTTTCTCCTTTTTATTGCTATTGTATGCAGATCTAATCCTTTCAGTGACATTTCCTGCAATAAACTTGTAATACTTTTACTCATTGTTTAATAGTTGATAGTAGGGAGCGCAAGTTAAATAGTACTGTAGTCCCTGCTTCCACATTAAATTACAATTGCTTGCCCTGGCCTGATTTTGACATCTGCTGGGCAAATTACTCAAATGATCAAAATCTTCCTGAAGCCCAGGGCATTGTCTGTTTAGTTTGCTTTTCTCCAAATTTAGTATCAGCACACCTGAAAAAATTGTAACTGATTACAGGATTAAAAAAAATAATAATAAAATACAATGTGATTTAAAGGGAAAGTTATTGAACTGTGTTTAAAATTCATGTTATGACATTGTTAACAACTGATTGATCTATGCTTGTACTTTGCTACCACTGAGCTAATTAACTAGAGATTAAATCATGTGACAATTTGCGTTAGTTCAGCTGTTTAATCTTAGGCTTCATGAATTTGGCACAGCCTGAGGAGAGAACTGCCACCCACCCAGGAGAGGGACTTCAGGGCCCCTGCTTTGTGCATGGGGCGTATGGGAGAAAACCAAGTCAAGTTGCTGGTGAAGACTTCGCATTGCAGTAGTCAGGCTGGAAGAGGGTGACATGATGGGTATGTCTAGGGAGCTAAAAAGGCAGGAGTTGAGAGAAAGGTTTGGGACACTGGGATGAAGTAATGGAAGGACTGATCACAGGTTTTGGGGGGAAGGATGTTGCAAGAAGCTGGTGCTCCGACAGCCCTGAATGGGCAGCATGCAGGGGTGGACAGGGTGCAACAGGGAACCACTAGGGACAGGGACTGTGGCAAGAAGTGGATGTTGGTGGTTGTCCTACATCAACCAACATAGGTCACCTCTCATGTGTGTCCCATTTCAGAACTCCTGGATTTAAATGGCCTTTTATTAGCAAGGAGTAAAGTGTGTGCTTTTAGACCACAAAAAGCGCCTGTTGCTGTCAGTCCGATGGGGCTGGTGCAGGGGTCTGCACAGAGCTCCTGACACCGCTGCTCAGCTATGCGGGTTTCTGTGGGAGACCATGTGAAAGAATTCCTACTTTTCTGAGCAGAATAATAGGAATATATGTTCACATACACAAAATTCAAAAGCTAAAGCGTGACCAAAGCGAGGGTGCCCCAGCCCCGCTCCCGTTCACGTGTGCAATACGATGGCGTCCAGCTCGATTTCGGCCCTGCTTCGTGTGGTCCCCGCGCCGCGGGCGGCGCTTCCCGGGGGAGAAAGGGGAGCGCGA